CGCGCGCGCCGCCACGCGCGCGTGTCGAAATCTCGTTCAGACCGTGGGTGTTCGAATCATTTCAAGGTCGAGCGCTTCAAAACCACATGAAGCACGTATCTGTTTTCCCGTAAAACGTTTGCCAGGTGTCTTGAATTTCTGCGCGCGCAGTGCCTCACCATCACCCTCACCAGGGTCATCGCATCACCGCCGTCATAGGTCTCGTCAGTCGGCGCTCTTGCCGCCATGAGCAATCAATCACGTTCATGACCTACGTATGGGCATCATCATCGTCGTCGTCGTGACCAGCATCGTCACCGTCATTGGTCTTGCCGCCGGGATCGTCATCATCGCCACCTCTATCGCTACTATCATCATCGTTGCCACTGCTGCCGACGTCATTATGACAACTCGCCCGTTCAAGTCACCGATCCATAGTGAAGTGCCCGCGCGACAGCGCGTACTTGAGGCGCGTGGGGAAGTTTCCATCGGCAAGCGCCATCGCGGCCGCATCAGCTGTGCCAAAGCAGCAGGCTGCGTTACGTGGGAGCTGGCGCCCGCCAGCGATGCCGCAAAGATGCGCCAGCTAGCGCCGTGTATTACCGCACTCGCGTCCGCAAGGGTTGTGGGAGAGTAGGATGATTGCGCGAGCAGTGGAGCCGATAGATCAATAGTGAACGTATTATTGTGAAGATTTTATTGCCATTGCCGCCGACCTTGGGAGGGGACGACGATGGCGAGGACGAGGAGGAGAGGGGGACTCGGGAGTTGCCACGGGTACCCCCCAGGATCCAGCCGGGAACCGCGACGGCGTGTTTGTGTGGCCCGTTGGGTATTTGTATGGCCCCCCGTTGCGTGCTTGTGTGGGCCAGCGCGCGGCCAGATGCGTGTTATTGTGACCCGCGCTGGCCCGTCAAGTAAAAATAACATGTAAAGGTTTCCTTCGCTCTCTGAAAACCTCCCAGACACATAAGGGGGGGGATCCCCGCCAAGAAAAATTGCCACACTAATTCCCACCATGATGCGTGTTGAGAGCAATTTGGCAGTTGCAGTAATTGTAATGGTGATGGCGGCGGCGGTGGCTGTGGACGTAATCGTCGTAGTAGTAGTAGCATTAGCGGTGCCAGTAAGAGTGGCAGTAGTAGTGGCAGTAGTAGTAGTCGTAGTCGTAGTCGTAGTCGTAGTCGTAGTCGTAGTAGTAGTAGTAGTAGTAGTAGTAGTAGTAGTAGTAGTAGTAGTAGTAGTAGTAGTAGTAGTAGTAGTAGTAGTAGTAGTAGTAGTAGTAGTAGTAGTAGTCGTAGTAGTAGTAGTAGTAGTAGTAGTAGTAGTAGTAGTAGTAGTAGTAGTAGTAGTAGTAGTGTAGTAGTCGTAGTCGTAGTCGTCGTCGTCGTCGTCGTCGTCGTCGTCGTAGTAGTAGTAGTAGTAGTAGTAGTAGTAGTAGTAGTAGTAGTAGTAGTAGTAGTAGTAGTAGTAGTAGTAGTAGTAGTAGTAGTAGTAGTAGTAGTAGTAGTAGTAGTAGTAGTAGTAGTAGGAGTAGCTCGCCCCACAGAGATTGCGCCACATAGCGTGCAGCCCTTGTATCGGATCACCTGCTTGTCGCCACCACACGATCGTTGCTGAAATGTTGCGGGTGGTAGGGTGGGATGTTTGCACGAGCAGCGGCGTTAACGATTTCTAGAGTTGTGGCAACCGTCTGGTTTCTCCTTATAAGGAGTAGACCTTACCACCGTCTGGCGCCCGGGATTAACATCTCGCCCTTCTGCATTGCAAAGTATGTCTGATTCTGCCCCACGCATGTTCCGAACGAAGTCAAACCATCCCACCTCACCTGGTGTCGCTCCTCCCCGTCAGCCTGTCGAGTAACTCCATGCGCGCACACTCGACTATATCACATTGCATTGCCACATAGTCCCCTGCAACAGAAAACCACAAAGTCCGCACGCGCTCGGACATGCCGAAATCAGCACACACATTTGCTCCGCACACATGTCAACATACCCGCATGATGTGCACACAGGCTTGTAGAGGTCTTGCAGATATTCTGCCATCGCGCACTCGGTGAAGTCGCAGACAAACCATGTAAGTTTAACAATTTCTTCTATAGTCCGCATCTTGACCTCACAACGCGGTGCATTCGCATTGATCTAGCATGCGCCCAGTGCGCGAATCCGCGTCAAATTATACCATGTGGGCCGCGCGCGCCGCCACGCGCGCGTGCAGAAACCCTTTCAAGATAGTTGTTTCTCAGCATTTCAAGGTAGAGCTAATCAAACACATACAAAGAACAGACAAGTGTGTTTCAAAAACAAGTCTGTCAGACATGTTAAGTTCATGTGGGAGCGCGACATTCTTCACTGGCACCCTCATCAGCGCCATGACATCACCGCCGGTGTCGCCATCGTAATTGCCTCCATGGCCACCAGCATCCACATAATCACCTTAATCACCTACTCATGGACTTCATCATCGTCATCGTCGTCACCAGCGACGACGCCGTTATGGGCCTTGCCGTCGTCATCGTTTTCATCGCCACCACAACCGATCATCATCGTTGCCGCCGTTGCCGACGTCATCATGACATCGCGCCCGCCGATGTCGCCGACCAGCACTGCCAGGCACGCCAGCGCAGCTTTTGAGATGCGCTGGGAAGTGCTCATCCGTTAGCGCCATCGCGGCAAAAATTACCGATATATTCATGTGGTTTTCGCCGGACGCAGCACATTCTGTCAAAAAGCTACACATGGACACCAGTTATGTTGAATTGGTCAGTTTTTCGTTAATCGTGTGAAGAAAAATTAAGATTTCAGCATCGATATTTGCAAAGGCACCCAAATCAACACCGATCCCAGCATCAAAGTCCAAATCACCCGCCCCGCCGATAGCGTTTCAGTCGATCGTGATGTGCGCCTCGAGCTCGCCATGTTCGTTCTCGTGTCAACGGCCGTCGGAACAGACGCATGGCCGCTTAGGAAGTAGAATCCCCCGGCGGTACCACACGTGCCCCTAAGTATCGGTTAGAAGAAGTGTCGTGCCATGTTCGCATCCAGGTCGCATCGCTGTCTCTCCTTGGCCAATCCCAGTCTGACCGCAGGGCATGGAAGAAGTGGCACGAAGTGTGCAGCCCTGGGACCAGAACAGCTTCAGGCTGACGAAGACGTTGCAGGACGACTGCGGCCTTTTTATTGGGAGCATGGGAGGCGGGACTGCGAGCATGCATTCGCATTGGGTCGGGGAGGAGGGGCAGTTGTGAAAGTGGTGGCGGTAGAGGGAGGTGCAGGAGGAAGAGCAGCAATGAGAGAAGGCCCAAGAGGAAACTAATGCGATTAGTATTAGTATGAGTGTGAACATGCACACCATGACGCTGGTAAGCAGGCGGGCCAGTTGAAGGAGTAGAAGGAGCGCATGAGCACGAGTAGGCGAGCGGGATATTGTGGAAGGGAAGTGGACGATTGGGGGTTGCGGGAAGGGGGAGGAGGAATGAGATGTTTGTTTGTTGTAGGTGTTAGTGTGTGTGCGCGTGCGTGTGCGTGTGCGCGGTTGCGACGATAATGAACAATTGTATACGCTGAGGGAGCTCATTTCGCAGCAGTGGGGGCAGTTTTCGCGGCACCAGCGGCGGCAATAGTGGGCAGGACACCTGAAGGAGCCTTGCATCATAGAGACAGCCAGGCACGCAAAGCAGGAGAGGAGGCCTTGTGGTCAATAATTTGTGCGAACAGGAGGCTGTGCGGAACCACGGCCGCGTGGATCTGATGACCAACCTCAAGGAGTGTGCAACATTGCAGCGATGCAGCGGTAAGGTAAGATGTGAAGACAGCATGGCAAAGCTGAGGACCACAAGCAGTTCACACGATGCGTGTGACGAGCCATATGGGGCCAGCAATTGGGGTGCGCGATGCGGAGTGCCAATCTTGCTGGACATCGTGTTGTGTCGAAGACGCCCGTGCCGAGTCACTGCTGCTTCTTGTCGCGGGAAACGCATCGGGGGACCTGTTGAGGCTCGTTGTTGAAGACTACGGCCATTTGGGAAGCATCGTGGCTTCCTTTGAGGGCCGTTATCAGGAGCTGTGGAGTCACTTTTGCGCTGTCTGGAGTCGTCTTAGGGCAGTCTAGGGCCGCGTCGGGTGTTCCCTGTGCATGCATTGGCGGCATCTTGAGCCGTTTTGGCGATTTTGGCGTTGAAGGATGGTGGTGGCACAGAGGCCAAGCAGCGTGCAAAGTGGGTTGGAGAGCCAAAACGCAGGGTAACATAAGCTTGGCACGCCCAGCACCCTTGTGGACACATGGGGCGACGGATCCAGTGGTTTGCGGCCCCTCCCGTCACCAGGCGGCCGGGGCTGCGGGTGGGCGCAGATCGAACGTTCGAAGCCAATGGCGCATTCCCACACGTTCCCGAAAGCCCCCCCCCTTGGGACGTACGTCAGCACGGTCGGGGGCACAGCGTCACGTGCTGGGCGCCGCGGCCAGAGACGGTGCATGGTTTTGAGTGGCCTTGCGGACTCCCTCCACGGGGGGCCACCATTCGCTGTCGCTCAGATCGGTGTCTGATCCGGCTCTGATCCCCGAGGCTCCATTTCGTCCGTGATTGTTCGAAGGATGTTGCGCCCCGGGTCCAGACAGATGGTGGTGCGTCCCAGGACCGTCATGAGTGAATCCATGCGTGCCCGCTTGAGGACGGTGCGGGGGGGATTTTTGCGATGGGGGGTTTGGGGGAAGTCTCGGGCGCCATGGTTCCAACGAGTTCACCTGAAGAGGCTCGGTAGGACCATCTTGGGGACATCTGCGTGGGACTTGGGCCCCTCGTGTGGCAACCGTGGGGGACACTGCGGCCCTCTTGGGGCAAAACACGAGTGAAGGAGCAAGCAGTCCATGACCTTCCTTTCGCTTCGCTGGAGTTTCATGTGAGGTTTCACGGCTTTCGCTTCGCAGCGTCCTGCGCGAGGGTTCATGGGCAGGGAGACCAGTCTGCCGATAGTTGAATCATCCCAGGGCCTCTCGGGAGCACTTTGGTGCTTCTGGAGGGCACTTCGGCCTCGATCTTACGAACCTGTACGTTGCCAGCGTCACGGTCAAGAGTCCACCATGCAAGCATGTACTGGGAGGGGTGCAGTATCGTTTGACTCTCCCATCCCCATTGGGCCATGGCATCTCTGCCCCACCATCCCACCATCCCAGTTGGGGATAGGATAGGTCATTCGAGGCCCGAAGGGAACAGCCTATATCGCCATATGGTGGGGGGGTATATCGGCCAGTGGGGCCCAGGCCACGCCATCGGGGGCAGGGACCGGTTGGACGATGTTCAGGGATGCTGCAGTGCCCGAGCACCACGGTGTGTCCTCTGCTTCTGGACCGGGTTCTATAGGCACGGCTGCCCTGTCGTGCGCTCGCCCTTCTCTCTGGGCAGCCTCCGCATTGTGTAGACGCCTCCCGGAGGAACCACCGACCTTCGTTCGCGGGCTCGCGCGCGGCGCCAATGGCCGAGGCATGGCCCAGCTGGCGGCCTCTTCGCTGCCTGGTCCACCTGATCTCCCCTAGCAGCTCATTGGCACGAAGTCGCTTCATGCCCCCTGGCGGCTGGAGCGCCTCAAATGTGGGCTGTGCCGGGCGCGATGCCATCCGTGAGGTCCAGGGGCAGGCGCAGGCAGACGGCCTGCTTTCCTGCCTGCAGGCCGCCTCGCTCAGGAGGCGAGCGCCACGTGCCCTCGCACTCCGGCCCCTCCTGCGCTCCCCTCCCAGCCTTCTCCCCAAAACCCCCTTTCCCCGTCCTCTCCCCCATCCCTCTCCCCCCCACCTCCCCTACACTCGGGGGTGGACAGAACCCCCAACAGTGACACGTCGATGGGTGTGAATTGTCCGTTTTCGGTCCTCGAGATGGCGCCGTGGCCGTTGTTTTCCAGGCCTGCGCCCGCCAGGTTTGGGCCTCAGGTCGTTTTCACGAAACCACGTTCTGCTAAAGGAGGGTCTGTCCATCTGTCCATCCCCGATACGCCCCCGCTTGCTACCCCCCTCCTCCCTCCCCTTTCCCTCCCGCTCTCGCGCCCCCCACTCCTGGCCTTCGGGGGGCCGCCCGGGGCCCCGGCAGGAAGGGAAGATGGTCGCGGTGAAGCGCATGCCGAACAAGTGGGTGCGCGACACGCCCAAGGCCGCACCGGCCCGGCCTCCGACTCCTGTCGAGGGCCTCTCCGTCCTCCTCCTCCCTCTTCGCCCTGCTCCCTCCCTCTCTCCTGCCTCCCTCGCGCAGCGCGTCCCCTCTCTCTCCTGCCTCCTCCCCCCCCCACCTCCCCGACTCCTTCCCCCCTGCCTCCCCGACGCCTCCCCCCCGTCTCTTCCTCCTGCTCGTCCGGCTCTCTTCCCCTCTCGCTGAGATCCGAGGGCGCGAAAAAATGGGGCATCGCGAAAGTGACGACCGAAGCACCAGACCCCAATGTTCCCCGCCAATGTTCGACCCCGATCGATCGGCGAGAATCTGTGGGCCCGAAGCCAGGCGAAATCGCCTAGCTCGGAATAATTGTCGGGGGTGGACAGACCCCCTACCCTGGCACGTCGATTAGCGAATTGTCCGTTTTCGGTTTTCGAGAGGGCGCCGCGGCCGTCAGTTTCCAGGCTTGCGCCCGCCAGGTTTGGGCCCGAGGTCGTTCTCACTAAACCACGTTTTACTAAAGGGAGGTCTATCCACCCCGGAGTCCTCGTTCCTTCTCCCCCTCCTCTCAGTCCTCCTTTTCTCCCTTCGGGTTGGGCGGCGCGATGAAGCGAAGTGATTCACTAAACCACGTTTTACTAAAGGGGGTTCTGTCCATCCAGACAATTGCGGCACCAGGATCTCTGGGCTTTGCCCACCCCCCTCCCTAACCTCGCATGTTCTGCATGCACCGTTGCCCTCCTCGCCTCTAGAACATCGGACGGCTCGCTATCTCATGAGGGCAACGTGGGCATAGAGACACATGAACGCGAGACATATAGAGACATCGCTTCCATAAAAAAAGAGAGAGAGACATGCCACATCTCACAGGGCAACATAGGCATAGAGACATAGCCTCCATGAAACGATTGGACAATGAGAAGCGGAAGGGAAGACAGAAGCATGCTGGACATTCTAGAACGTGTGTCGATTCGTGCTTGGCTCCCCGGGCCCCTCTACGACGGGGGCCTGGGGGCACACAGGCGTAACGATACGAGCTCCGCGTCGGCTATTCCAGACTCCTTAATAGAAGTGGGGGGGGGGTCACATTTGGGGGGGTCTGACTTGACCTGTCTTGGAGGGTTCGCGGGGGTCTGGGCAAAGGGCCGCCCTTGCATGGATGGTCTGGGGGGTCTAAAACTTCTCGTCTGGGAGGGTTGTGACCCCCTCCCTTTTATCACGAAAACTGGAGTAGCAGACTCTAACCCGCAGGCTCTCGGTGCCCCGGCCAAGAGGTGAAAGCGCCCTGCCCGTGCTCGTGCTCCCTCTGCCCTGCCCCTGCTGCAGTCAAGACGCTGACTCGATGCTCGTTTCGGGGACCTTCCTGGAGCCCACCTAACGGA